CTTATAATGATAAAGGTTACACTTCTTGTAAATCAAATCAAATCAAATTATTTAAGATTTGCACTAATCATACAGTTCTTTGAATCTAACTACTGACTTGCTTAAACATACAGATGGGTTTATATGAATGAGAAAAATCTACGTTTATTAACTAGGCTACCTTTTTTTTTTTTTGCAGGATCAGCCAGCTCTTTGATCCATCTGTGGAATACAAAATGAAACACAAGAGAAGAGGACTTGCTTTGATTTTCAATCATGAGAGGTTTTTCTGGCACTTAGCATTACCAGACAGACGTGGTACTTGTGCTGACCGAGATAATCTGAACCGCAGGTAAAGCAATCATTGTTCAGTGTATTTTCTTTTACACCAAAGCAGAAAAATCCAAGGACATTTCCAAAACTACTTCCATTTTTTTAAGAAATTGTGTGTCAAGGGAGAAAGTATTTCATGAGGTAATACAAATTGTCAGATCTTTAGGATATAGGTAAAGAATTTTGAAAGTTTTACAGTAGAAATGGATTTAACATAAATCAGGATCTAATAGTTGTTCTTTGGCTGATTTGCAATGGATTTCTGACTCTCAGTTATTCAATAAATTAAGTCCCGTCCCTTCAATTATCAGCTAAATGACTTCTGCTGCTTGAATTAATGTATTTATCCAAATAAAAGACAGTACTAAACTGAAGTTGACATTCTTCACCACAAAGCAAGATCAGACAGAAAAGCCTCATTTATACAGCTAGCCCTCAACTTACAACCATTTGTTTAGTGACTATTCGAAGTTACCACACCACTGAAAAAAGTGACTTATGACCATTGTTCACATTTATGACCATTGCTGCATCCCCAAGGACATGCAATCAAAATTCGGATGCTTGGCAGTGTGCCAGAGTCATGTGATCACCTTTTGCGACCTTCTGACAAGCAAAGGGAAGCCAGATTCACTTACCAACCGTCTTACTAACTTAAGAGTGCACCGATTCACTTAACAACTGTGACAAGAAAGGTCATAAGACTTGGGGCAAAACTTGCTTAATAATCTTGCTTAGCAATGGAAATTTTGGGCTCAGATTTGGTTGTTAAGTCTAGAACTACCTGTTTATTTTAGTACAATGTTTCTCAAACATGGTAACTTTAAAATGTGTGAATTTCAACACCCAGAATTCCCCAGCCAACACAGTATCTGAGGAATTTTGGGAGTTGAAATCCAGACCTTTTTAAGACAGCACTGTTAAAAAAAATACTGCTTCACTATATTCTCTTTCATTCATACACTGTTTGGAGGAAAACGGGAAAACGGTCCCCAAAATGGAATAGCTTTGAGCTCAGATCAGTTCTGGTACTCACGATGGTTAGAGTTTTAGACTTTTCATCTGCAGAATCAACCCCATCTCGCATGTTTGACACAACTCAGCTGTGCTTTTTTTTTAACTTGGAATCCCAGTCAGGGTTGTGACAATATATTATATAAATTGAGAATGGCCTATGGAACATGTCCAACTTCCTTTCTGTGACTTCACATTCCAAGGATGATGGTGCATGAGAAAGGAAATGGGGCAGAAATAATATGTCTTTATGATAAAGAATGGTTTTTGCAGTGAAGGGTTACTAGAAAGCGTTGAAGGAATCCCAGGGCTTCCTCAAACATATCTCTGATCTACATAGGCTGGTGCTAAATATCTACATGAATGCACTTTAGGTTAGAACAAACATGTCAAACTTGCAACTTCACATGACGTCGCACAATGTTTTGCCATTGCCGGCAATGGGGTGGGCGCGGCTTCTGCATGATGTGTCTGGCCCACGGGCCGGCAGTTTGACACCCCTGGGTTAGAACAATGTGAATTGTTGCCATAATTAGCTGTGCAATTTCAGTACTGATTATATAATTTATAAATCTATAAAAGGACATGGGCACAGATTGTTTGAAAGATTGCATCTTTAAATATTCCTGGCCAATGTTTCAGAAGCTCACATGCTGAGATATAAGGCAGGTGGATAAGGCAATGAAAGAAACTACTTGTAGAATTCTTTTTTCAAGGTATTTTTCTAATCCTAACTGTACTTACTAATATCAAGAAGTACAAATTTTAAAAGTCTTTTTTGTTTGTTTTTTAAGGTTCCAGATAAAAAATGACTGATATTAGGTATTATATCTGTTCTTAATATGGCTGGGTGTATTTTAGTTACACTTATATTTTAATTTGGAACTCAATCTGATTCTGTGGACTGAAAAGGTAGATTCTTCTTTTTTCTGGAGTACTCATAGCATAATAATGTGGTAAGTGGTGTTTCAGTGAATTTCTAAAGCTGGCTGGTTAGATAATGTTGCATCCTCTCAGAGGTCTAAATATTAATATGTGAGTTAATAAGAATATATGAATATGATTCTAGAGTGAAATAATGTTCTGTTTAAAATAGTTTGACTGAACTTGGATTTGAAGTGAAATGTTTCAATGACCTTAGAGCAGAAGAAGTGCTGCATAATATTCATGATGGTAGGTAAAGCAAGTTTATTTGCCTGTAGATGCTTGGCTACTGCTTGTATTTTATTGGTAAAATTCTTAATATCAAAATTATTAGTGAAGAAAATAATTATTGCTAGTGAAGATATAATTTATTGAATTGTAGGAGAGCCAACCAGACAGAAAGAACTGGATACTTTTTGTTTTTTCGTCTCTCAGGCCTGACTTCTTAAGCTATTCATATTCCTCCTATCATGTTTGTTATTAATTGCTGAATTATATGTTTGTGCTGATAAGCTGAAGTTTCTCAACATTTTAAATTTTTTAAAAAAAATATTTTGTTTTTACATTGTAATTTTTTTCATTTTTAAAACTAAAAATTAATAAACATTTTAATTTTATGACGAATTTAGTAGGGTGTGCAAAATTCACCAGTTGAGAAACAGACTGTTCTGGAAAATTTGAGAGCATTTTGTTCTTCCAAATCATCCTGAACCTTCTCCAGATTATGCTATTCCAATAGTTCTGTGGGTTATGTAATTAAATTCTGTTAAATTGGAAATCATTTGAACTGTTTCAGTCATTTCATTTCAAGTGAAACAGGCCTGGTTGGAACTGGATCACTCTAGATCAGGGGTAGGCAACCTTGGCTCTTTTATGACTCATGGATTTCAACTCCAGAATTCCTGGCAGTTGAAGTCGATGAGTCATAAAAGAGCCAAGGTTGCCTACCCCTGCTCTAGATCATCACCAGTTCAGAGGATTTACTTCAGGAAACTGGCCCAAAAAACAAGGTTAGGGGGAAATCAGCAAATTGGTTTTCTGAAAGGTTTCATTTCCCATTTGGTGAATTTTGCACCTCTCTAATTTTTAGGAAATAAGGTGGAATATAAGCTTTTAAGATGTCTTTGCTGTTATCTGCTACGTAAAAGGAAGCAGAAAGAGCACAGGAGGCTGTAAGGTCTCAAAAGTAAGCAATTATGGTATCTGATGAGATGGTTTTAATGATGCAGTAGGCACTGGGGAATAATGGAGTACCAATTGATTTTTCAATTTCTAAATCCAGCTCTGAATAAAATTAACTATTTGTTTAGCATGTGGGAAAACTGGATTGATTTATGTCCAAAGCAAGCCAAAGGAAGTTTATACTTTACTATTTTAATAGCCACTAATATAAAAAAAAATAATGTGTGTGTGTGTGTAGATAAATTGCATCATTATTTTTTGTAGTGTCCACAGATAAACATGAAGATGCAGACTGCTTTATGTGCGTTTTCCTGAGCCACGGAGAAGATAACCATGTTTATGCTTATGATGCTAAAATACAGTTACAAATGTTGACCAGTATGTTCAGAGGTGATAAATGCCCTAGCCTGATAGGGAAGCCAAAAATATTCATAATTCAGGTGAGATGGTGGAGTTTTTGAATCCACAGCTGAGTTCATAATATGGGATTAAAATTCATTTTATTGAAAGAAAGAAATTAAGACTGCCATATATTAAAGGTATCACTTTTAAATGCAAACTTGAAGTGTATGACTTGGTGCATTTAGTCGAAACATGGTATACTTCCACATATCTACACTTGTGTAACTTAACTTCCAAGAGGTTTTACCTTCAAAGTATGTAAAAATTTGTGTCCATGACTAGCAATTTGTAGTGGGAAAATGGGTGGGTGGAAGAAGAATCACCTTAGATTTTGTTCGTTAAACAAGGGTCCTTGTGTAAAAATAGACTTCACCTTAAAGAAAATTCAAAACATCACTGGTATCTATAGCAATGCATAATTAAAGGCATTTATTTGTTCAATCATTTAAGTGAACTTTTCTGGATCTACAACGGAGGGTTGGTATTTATAAGTGATTTCAGATCCTGGATTTCATTTCCAACAGCTCTTTTATCTCAAATTTTAGGCATGCAGAGGAGATAAGCATGATGAGCCAGTCTTGGCTCGTGATACAGTGGATAGTGTTACAGATCGCTCACTCGATAATGAAACTACATTGGATGCTGCTGCAGTTTATACTTTACCTGCTGGTGCTGATTTCCTCATGTGTTATTCTGTGGCAGAAGGTAAAAATCAATGTTATCCTAAAAAAAAAAAAAGTTTAATCTCATCATCAAGTGAGTAATAGTTTCTTAAAGAAAATTTGCTTTGATGTATCATTTAATTTGCTGTAACATTGATGTAACTTTGATGTAACATTGAATAGATACTGACAATCAAGTTTTTTTGTATATACTAAAATCCTCCAAAAGCTAATAAAAACAAACCAAAGAGGTGGCTCCTTCTCAAAACTAATCAGTAAATAAAAAATGGCAGATAGAAATTGAATCTGCAAGAAGTGGTGAGGAACTTATCATTAATGTGTAAATCACATCTGGCACTTCTTTCCCACCAGTGTGGTGTCAGTTATCAAAATTTCCATCACAGCAGAGCACATATTAACTATCCTTGCCTAAATAGCAAACTAAATCAAGAAACAAATCTTTAGGGATTTATTTTTATTAAATTTATACGCCCACAATTCTAGGGGGCTAACAACGAAATAATGCAGTATAGCTGTAATGTAAGGTTTTCATGCAATATGAAGACCCAGCTTCCTAATACTTTCTTGTTGCAGATGCGTGCAATGAGTGCAGAACTTTGATTATGATATTTAGGTGACAAATTCATGATGGCTTATTCCAGTGATGGCAAATGTTTTAGAGACCGAGTGCCCCAAAACCACCCCGCCACCCCATCCCCACTCTGCTATGCCTGCTGGGCCACCCACCACCTCCACGGCCCGCCACAGATTACCCAGGCAGCCCAGCAGTGACATGACCACACCCTCTGCCTGTGTCCCGCAGCATCATTTGTGTCCGATGGGGCGCAAGGGCGTCTTGTCCCCATTTCCCGGCTACCATGTCCTTGGCTGCAGTGCTCTGTGTGGGCTGTGTCCAGGGGCGACTCTCCTCCGGGGGGGCTGCTGGTGAGGAGGGGGCCGTGGAAGGAGGCAGGGCTGGGGCGACGGTGCGTGTGCCCACAGAGAGGGCTCCGAGTGTTGCCTCTGGCACGCGTGCCATAGGTTCGCCACCACTGGCTTATACTAACTGAGGCTGCAGATCAAAATAGGCTAAAATGATATTACTAGTTTGTGGCTTGGCACTGCTCAAATGAATGCCGCTACAGTAAGGATTCTTCATCTCCCAGTCTTTTTTAAATTCACTTTAGAGAATGTCATTGGAAACACTTTCTCCTATGGCCCTTAATCAGCTTCCCTGCTCAGCTCGGCAAAGGCCACCATTAAGATAATTGGACTTCTTTCGATGCAATATCTATTAGTAAAATATAGCAGAACTGGATCAGCTAGTATTATCTATACAGGTATTCCTCAACTTACAACAGTTCATTTAGTGACTGTTTGAAATTACAGTGGCATTGAAAAAAGTGACTTATGGCTGTTTTTCACACAAACATTGCAGCATCCCCATGGTCATGTGATCAAAATTCAGATGCTTGGCAACTGACTCATGATAGTTGTAGTATCCCAGGGTCACATGATCACCTTTTGCGACTTTCTGACAAGTAAAATCAATGGGGAAACTAATGTTACTAACTTAACTGCAGCAATTCACTTAACAACGGTGGTAAGAAAGGTCGTAAAATGGGGCAAAACTCACTTAACAAATGTCTCACTAAACAACAGAAATTTTGGGCTCAGTTGTGATTGTAAGTTGAAGACTACCTGTATAAACAGATAGTTAATAAAAGGAGAGACTTAGATGATTTGGGGATAGATAAAATTCCCTAAAATTATTTTTGCCAAGCAAAGATACTATAAATGTAAGAAAAATTTCAGAAAACTGGCACATTGAAAAAAGCTCAAGAAAAAAAAAATCAAACTTTTTCCCCAATAATTTTTTGCTTACTTAGTAAATTTAGATTAAAAAAACTAAAGCTAATTTCTTGACACAATAATTTAATCCTTTCTCCCCCTCTCCCAATAGGTTTCTACTCTCATCGGGAGACTGTAAATGGTTCTTGGTATATTCAAGATCTGTGCGAGATGATACGAAAGCATGGTGGTTCCCTGGAATTCACAGAATTACTGATGCTTGTTAACAGGAAGGTATCACATCGCAGGGTAGATGTGTGCAAAGATATTCAGGCTATAGGTAAAAAGCAGATCCCTTGCTTTGCTTCAATGTTAACTAAAAAACTGTATTTCTATCCCAAATCATCATAGCACGGTAGAGTAAATATTATTTTTGGGTGCGTAGATGGTGGATGATGGTGTAGTCTGCAGGACTCAAAGCAAATCATATAGTACTGTTGAAATAGATCCATTTTATATTTACTTATCTGAAAATTTGCTCCATTAGACTCAATGAGACTTGGTTCTGAATAGACATATAGAATTGCACTGATAATTAAAAATGTATGTTTACTTAGTATATAGTCTATTACTTTCCTAAACTAAGAACTTCAGGAGATGGTGAATTAAAATGGTTAGATGAGCAGATCTGTGCAATAAAATCACAGCCAATAATTGCAAGTTCTAAATGGTAAACAGAAATACAAATTCTACATTAAAAATTGAAAAAAAAACTGTGAAGTTTAACAACTCAGGCAGAAATACTTTTATATAGCCTTTGAAATATTCTGCTACCCTCAGGGAGTTTGAAAAATAAGTTCAGACTTGACATTGGGATAATAAAGGAATAGTTAATCAAAAGTTAGCTGTCTTTAGGTTTACATTCCATAATGGATTTTAATAATGGATATTTTGTACGAATGGTTAAATTTTTATACCTTTGTTTTAACACAGTAATTGTCTTATGAGAATCATTTTCTTAATCTGTTTCTACTGCAAGAATTGTTCCCCCCTCACTTTAATATTTTGGAAAAGTGAATTATGCAACTAATATAAAATTGTGATTCCTTCAGTTAGTTATAGCAGCTCCTGATAACTTGTGGAGTTACTGCAACTTAATTGAAAAATTTGCATTATTTTTCATACAAACCAGCCTTATTATTATTTAATAAAAGTTAATTTGTGTCTATGAACCCTGCTGTCATAAATCTTTCAGGTGCTATGCATGCTACATATGTAACTCATTACAGATATTGAGATATTTTGTGCAAGTGTGCAAGGAACATTTTCTTAACATCCTAAACAGAAGACTCAGAAGACATCCAAAACTAGTATCTGTTTTTATTTATCTCATTATGAAAATTACATTCAAATATAGGCATCCCAGAATAATAACCATCCTTTAAAAACATTTTGTTTTATTACGAATGGATTGGCCATCCAAGATTAAGATGGTTGTTCCTTCTAAACTTGAATATTGTGGAGAAATGATATACACAAAAAGTATGATTTGGGACTTTTTAAATAAAGATTTGTATGTTCAACTTTAATATAGTGGGTCAAAATGTCCAGTTTGTGATTTTTTTAAGGGAATCCAACAGGCTGAAGCTTAAACAAAATTAATGTTTATCATTAATTTCTTGCACTGGAAGTCGTAATTGTAAGGGGTTCCTCAGTCGTTTCAAGGATTCTTCCACCTGTAAGTGTAAAAGGAAAAAAAATGATGAGTTTATGGTTTAAATAGTTGTAAATAGCTTCCATCAAATTCTACATTATTCAATTATATATTTTGCTAACCAGGGCACCCTAATAACTTGAATTTACATCTCTTAAATGTGATTCAGTTATACTTAGCATTTAAAATTAGGAAACTGATTTAGCTATCAGGTAGCAAAATACTCTAAAATTAACTTTTCTATACATTCTATTTTGTATCTATGGATGCTGGACCTATGTAGCCAGGATACCTATCTCATAAATTATTCACTAAAGGAGAAACATAGGAAAGAATTAGTTGAATTGTAATCAACTGCGAAAGTTGAATTGAGCTTGCAATTTGCTAGCTATACATGATTACCTCTGCAGAATCTAGACCAGGGCTTTTCAACCTTTTAATCCCATTGTACCACTTTTATAGGCAACCAGTCGCCTAGCAAGGTGTCAAAACTTGATGACCAAAAAAACAAAAAAGAAAAAAGTGATAAAGTACAGGTAGTCCTCGAGTTACAACAGTTCGCTTAGTGACTATTAGAAGTTACTATGGCACTGAAAAAAGTGCCCCCCAAGCCACAGCCAAGCAAGACACCTGCCTGGCCACCCGGCGACGCTCTTCCTCCTGTCTGAGGTTTTCATTGTTGTGAGCATTTCTGTTGGGGATTGGCAGCGGAGGTGGGGTGGAGGGTGTTTGGTTTTTATTCCCCCCGTCTGCTGGGTGGTTGCAGCAGATTTTGGTCACTTCACATGACCCTGGGTCACTGTGACCGTCATAAATATGAATCAGTTGCCAAGCATCTGAATGTAAATCACAAGACCCTGGAGATGCTGCAACATTCCAGCTGATCGGTGCTTCTTCTGGGCTCAGCAGAAGCACCAGGATCAGCACCGAGCTCCAGCTGGAGCCTGGCGCTTCCACTGAGCCCTGACAGTCCTGAAGAAGCGCCGATCAACTGGAAAGTGGCACTGATCCTGGTGCTTCCGCTGAGCCCTGACAACCCTGCAGCTCCAGCCATCTCTCGCTCAGGCTTGTGCGGTGCTGCCACTGGTTCAGCTCATTCCCCTCCCCCGCTACTTTTCTAGGATGGTCGCGTACCACCTGCCGGATGCCAATGTACCACAGGTGGTACCTATACCACTGGTTGAAAAGCCCTGATGTAGACAATAATTTTGCAGAGTTATTTCAAAATATTTAAAAAAGTAAAGAAAAATAACAAGACGATTATACAAAAGTATATTAGCATATATATTGAATGAATGTATACACTTGAGGAGAGAAGAGAACCTGCGTATTTGTAATTATTTTGCATGAAATGTACAGTTGTTTGATAGGTCCTGACACAGGATGAATGTGCTATGTAGCCTGGGATAGTATTTTCTCTGCCTGAAAAAGTTATTAGCAGTTATTAGCAGCTGAATTAGTCTGTGTAGATAGACTTAACACTTTGGCTAGATTACCATTTCTACACTTAGTGACTAATTTTTGTGAACAAATGTTATAATTGGATACTCTTCAAGACATTCTTCATCAATTGGAATATCTGAGTAAATTAGCAGGTTCAGTTTACTTTGTTTAAAATCTATCAAAGCTAACCTATTAGCTTTTGCGGGCAACAAAGATAATCTGTAAGATTTCAAATTTTCATCCCCAACACACTAATTGCAGCTACTATAACAGATGGAACTGGAAGAACTAGCACAATGTAACATGATTCCTTTCCTTTCCTCTGGAGGACTGTGAACAGGCATTTAAAAACATATTTTTCAGAAGTTGAGATTAAACTGCTTTCTGTACACAAGAAAAGTGAGTAAAACTGCCAGTCGTGGTTGCAATTAATTGACTTTCAAAACATACAGAAGCTCCTTTCCATGATCTCTTGTGCATCCAATACTATGTACTCTCCTACTGTTGTTGTGAATCATCCAAAGTTGGGTGGGAAGATCATATAAATCAGATAGAGAGATAGACAGATCTATGCAATTACCTCTGCCAGGTCCTCTTTTAGTTTGTTATACAGAATCATATTGAAGTTCTGGCTTTTAGCTTTGCGGTGAAAATAGTGAAGGAATTGCCTGTCTCGAGCGTCTGGGTAAATATAATCCTTAATAAGGCAGGGAAAAAACAACAACAAAAAAATTATTCAATAATCTCCCCTGACTCACACCCAGAGGTCTGCAGAATACAATATCTATTTTCAAGCCCAATTCTTTTTTTAAAATGAAACAAGTGGAGCATTAACTGGATTTGTACATTTCATTAAACTAGGTTTTGATCATGATATACTAAATAAACCAAATTTTAATAGCGCTCAACAAAGGAAGCTTGGTTATACAAAGTATTTTGTAGCAAAGGCTTCAACAATATCTCAAATACTAATCCCTCAAAATTTTAGGAAGGAGACAGGGCGAAGAGAAGCTGCCCAGGGAATGGTCAGATAAGGGAGAGCAGAGCCCTCAGCTGGATAATGAGCATTAGAAGAGGCTCAGAAGGGACCCTCCCTAGTTTATTAGGCTGTGAAGGAGACAGGAAATTTTACCTGCAGATTTGCAAGATTCTGTTAATATAGCTTTACAATAAAGTAGAATTAATTTATCTGGTCGTGTTTCCTGTCTGATCTACATAAGGCTGACATAGCCTCATATTATGATTACCACAGAAGAAATTCTTCCAGTGATTTTTACATGAAAGGGAATGAGAACAGTGATCCCAGGGCCTTACTTTGAGGTAACCTATTTTCTTTAAAGCATTAGTGTCCCCAGATAATTGAATAAGGGCTGATATGTCTTTGTATTATTAAAAAGACTGCTAATTAAAAAGAACTGAAGGGAATAATCACTCATTCCCGCACAGCATCCACAAGATACATAAACATCCACAAGATACATATTATAATATATAGCAGGTTAACTTTCAGGTTTGCAGAATCTGAAGCATTTGTGTCTTTACTGATCAACTAAACCAGTGGTTCTCAACCTGTGGGTCGGGACCCCATTTGGGGTCGAACGACCATTTCATGGGGGTCGCCAAACCATGCTGTCCACCATTTTGTTCCCTTTTCCCTAGCTGTCCTACTCCCTCTTATTGGTGGCCACACCCACTTGGGGGTCACCACAACATGGGGAACTGTATTATGGGGTCACGGCATTAGAAAGGTTGAGAACCACTGAACTAAACTCTCTGAACAATTTGCAGAACTTTTGAAACAAAAGTTTCAACTGTGCTCTCAGAGTAAAAGTTTAGGATCCTGATCATAGTACTTCAAAGACTTGTGCAGGCAGTCAGAACTGAGTTTAGTTTGTATGTATTACCTTAACAAGTTCCTTACCTGCTTAGTAAGTGCAAAGTAAGCATAGAATGCCATGGCATTTCCGTAAGTGATAAAATAAGTAACAGGTTCCATAATGTCCCATGAGTAGACCCACCAGGTGAGCCAAGCCAAGGCTCCACCCTGAGTAGACATTAAGGCTAAACCAATCCATAGAAGGCGAGAAGTCTTTGCATCAATATCTGCTGCAATTGTAGCCTTCATCTAGGAACAAAAAAGCTATGTTACACTCCAAAGTGTTCGTTATGCTCCTCTCAAATTGTATTTAGAACTGCAGTATTCAAACTGATACTCCCATATGGAATTTGGATTCCATCCAAATACATTCTAATAGTTTCTTAAGCATAAAGCTTCACAAATAAATTCAGTTCTGATACCAATAGCTACTACTTTCAAGGAAGACATTTCAGAACACGACCTGTGATGTATCTTTTTGTTTTTTAGATACTCTTGGAAGTCTTCCGAGCACTGTTACAGAATATTGTTATTCTCTGTAGATCTCATAGAAAAATGCAGCTATTCAGATCCAGATTTTCATGAAATAGAACAGATTCAAGATTTAACTTGCTGATTATCAATTTCCACATGAGTGAATTTATTAAGAATTTTTCAAACCTGTTCTAAAGGGAACAGTTCTTCTTTCAAAAGTTCCATTTTTTGCATTAACTCTTTCTCTTTTCTTGTCTGGTGCTCTTCTAAGTGAAGGGCTACAAATAACTTATGGATTGTTGATTTGATGTCATCTATCTCTGTGGCATGCTCTTTGCTCATTTTATCTGAAAGAAGAGTGAAGCCTGAGTTATTACAATTACTATAAGCATCCTCAAAAAGCCTGCAGGGAACTTCCTCCCTTCGTATACTATGCAATTTCTCTTTCAAATAAAGTCCCATTTTTCCCCCCTCTGTGTCGAAAGCACCAAAGTGCTTCCCTGGCAAAAGGATTTTCTGGTGATATCAACATTGCTTGGGGCTCCCTACTTGGGGCTCCTTTTGTGTCCCTGTGAAGTTGCCCACTGAAGTGTACTCGTTAATTTGCTCATGGTCATCCACTTTCGAACTGCTGAGTCAGCAGGAGCTGGAGTGTGTGACGAGGGCTCACCCTGCTCTACAGCAGCAATGTGTCTCGAACAAAAGCTCACCCATTGTCAGCCCAG